ATCCATGCAAGCACATTTTAGCCCTCAAAGATTGGTACGTGGCCTGGAAAATGCCACCTTGCAGTGATCAATCAAGCAGAAGAGAGCTGGAAGGGACCTCAGAGGTCTTCTAGTCCAACCCCCTACTCAAGCAGGAGACCTGCTGTAGACCGTTTCAGACAAATGGCTGCCCAGTCTCTTCTTCAAAACCTTCAGTGTTGGAGCCCCCACAACTTCTGGTGGCCGGCAGTTCCACTGGCTAATTGTCCTCACTGTTAGGATATTTCTCCTTAATTCCAGGTTGCTTCTCTCCTTCTCATCGGTTGCTTTTCTCTAAACTGGCCCTACCCAAATCCTGCAACCGTTCTTCATAGATTTTAATCTCCAGGCCTCTATATTCATTAGGTTTCATTCATTCTTTTTAAATTAAATAATTATAATTATTTATTCATCTTTCATTATTATGCCTTTTAATGGGGTGGTCTTCTTTTTCAGTGTTATTTTTTTTTAAAAAAAATGTTTATTCTTATTTCTCTCGTTGGTATGCTCTTGTATGCATCACAACGGTTGGATCTGAAACAAGTTTTTGGTCAGGGAAAAAAAAAAAATCTCTCAAAATGGCTGCCCAGAGATTTCTTTCAAATGGCTGTTAGGTCAGTTTTGTCGGTTTAATCGGTTACTCAGCTTTAAGGTGTGTGGACTTCAACTCCCAGAATTCCCCAGCCAGCCAGGTCTGGGTTTATTTTTTTATTTTATTTTTTCTTCTCCCCGATCCTTTAAAAATGGAGATTGCAGAGAAAGGGATTGCAAGAGAGTAAGCTGGCTACAATGGGTATATACCTTTTTGTAAACTTTTTAATGTCTTGAACTTTAATAAAGTTTTGTTTTTAAACTAAAAAAAAGCAATTCTGGGAGTTGGAAGAGATTTAGACAAGCTTCAGCTAGATTGTTTTCATCTATACAGGGGTAGGTGGTGGGCATGGCTTGGTCATGTAACTGGGTGGACATGGCTTGGTGGTCATCTTATTGGCTGGGTGTGGCCAACTCAACATCACTCACATAGAGGCACGCATCTCCTCGCCTTGCCTCTCATGACTGTGGGGATGCTGCAACAGTCGTAAGTGTGAAAAATGGTCATAAGTCACTTTTTTCAGTGCCATTGTAACTTTGAATGGTCCCTCCACACAAGCAAAGGAGGGGGGAAAAAACTCCAGAGAAGTTCCTGAGACAGGAAGTCTAGTCCTGTCAAGAATGTAATAAGGGTTAACAAGAGAGGCAGTTTCTGTCAGCAACACCAGAATGTTTCCTTCCTGCCTTCCTTACAGGATTAGCCCAGTAATTTCTTCTAACAACCGGTTCTCCGAATTGCTTAGAATGTTAACAACCGGTTCTAGCGAATAGGTGCGAACTGGTAGAATCCCACCCCTGCATAAAATCGAAATGCTCCTCACGCATCATCACAAAATCTCCACAACCATAAAGCCTACAAACTTGAAATTTGGCACCTATGTTCCTCTTGGCTTCTAGGGGTTCACTAAGGATTTTTCCAAATGACCATCAGAGCATTTAGAGTATTTCCTATATTATTATTGTTATTGTTGTTGTTATTATTAACATGCTTTGATGCTAAGGGGTTCGACTCCCCCTCCCAACCTGAAAAGAAATCTGCTCCAAATGCAAAACACAGAGAGGAGTTTCACTTTCAGAGCAACAAGCAGCTTTAGTACAGAACAGTTGAGCTAAGCCACGCCTAGGCTCCTTGCTGTCTCTTTGCTCACACAGCAAATACTGTTTCAGTTTACAAACAGCCCTCATCTCTCTCCCACACTGATAGGGCGCTAGCCAGATGAATAACGATGGATACTGGTAGGCAGAGGCAGAACTTTTTCCCCTTATTTTCCTCCCCAAAAACGAAGGCCCACCACATGGTTTCGTAGCGAAGCACGGGGATCGAGCTAGTGCTTCCATAAAAAGAAGATTATTAATATACATTCTGTTTTGTATTTCACGAAAGCTGAAATTCCCCATTTGTGTTCCTCTCTACACGTTTTGCTATATATATAAAAATAAATAAATAAAAATTTATATATAAAATATATATAAAAAAACAAGATTAGGAGGTTTTGCTTTTTTTTAAAGTTTTATTTCTCTTCTTTCACAGTAAATCTGATACAGGCAATTAAATAATTCTGCAAATAAAAACCAAGACCAAAAACAATAATAATAATAATAATCAAGAAAGTTAAAAAGCGGAGGAGTTTTAAAGTTATGAGTGCCATTCATACATACATGTTTCTTCAAAGGTGCATCTTTAAACTGTATAAAGGGAGGACGTTTTTTTTTTAATATTACCATAAAAATAAAATGCAAAGAAAGTTAAAAAAAAAAAAAACAACAACCCAAACCTCCGTTGCTATTTTCTGTTTTGTTTAAAATACATGGGGTTTTTTTGTATTTTATTTGCCAAACCAAGATAGAGAGAACAGATGTCGCAGGAGAACTTCTAGAGAAAGCAAAACATCTCCAACCATGAATTAACCTTGGCTGAAAAAAAATCATCATTAGTTCGGTCAGCAATTTCCCCCCTCCCCCCTCCCGTGGAAACCGGGATTTCACTTATATTATCTTAGTGCAAGGTGCCACTATCACAACAGATTAAAACAACTGTACACTAATGAATAGAGGGTGGCTTATGTCAAGATCCTAGGACAGGAGAAAAGAACAGGAAATGCAGGATTGGAAATTAAAAACCAACAAACCGCATTCGCAGGTGCCGTGGCGATTAAATTTTGCAAAGAGTCCACACGCCAGGGCTGTCGTTGTACAACAGCCGCCATGCTCATAAGCCGCTGCATTTGTGGGACTGCACTCCTAGCCCAGGGAAGGATTTCGGAAGGCCAAGCCAGTTCCTTAAGACATTTTTGTGTTGTTTGTTCTTGAGGACTAGCCTCGTGCAAAATTAAGCATCATTTTGCACCTCCACCCCCAGTAGAGCTTTTCTCAACCTCAGGCAGGCCTTGAAGATGGGCGGATTAGAGCTCCCAAAATTTCCCATCCAATTAGGTAACTTTGGCGCATCTGATGCGACATCTACCGTATTACCACTGTAAATGGTGGGAATGCGGTAATGTCATATAATTTTTTTAATAAGAGGGTGGGAATGTGGTAGATGTAAATATAACTTTTTCTAATAGATGGAGGGAACGCGGTGGGTGTCATATAACTTTAATAGATGGGAACGCAGTGGATGTCCTGTAACTAATAAATAGCGGGAATGTGATGGATGTGATATAACTTTTTTTTTATAAATGGTGGGAATGCGGCGGATGTCATATACCTTGACTTCAGCACAAAGTGGGGGGGGAAAAAAATAACCCTTGACAGCACAGCCTGGTCGGGGAATTCTGGGAGTTGAAGTCCACCCATCTTCAAGATGCCTTGGCTGAGACGCACGGGGGCCACGTAAACTGGGCAGAAAGTGTAGCCCTCCCAAAATCAATGGGGCCGTCCCCATCAACCCCCACTCCAGCTGCCTCCTCCTCCTCCTCTGTCATGATGGCCACAAGCTCTGGGGAGGGAGGAGGGCAGGTGTTCCCAGTGGGGGCTAACCAGTAACCCTGGCTATCCTCTTTCAGCCACGATCCATGCATATTAGAGCAGGAATATACCCCGTTTCCGTGGTACCTTCTATTTTTTTAATATATACTTTATATATATATATATATAAAAATATCTATATACATTTATTATTATATTGGGAAACATCTCCAGGGGGGAAGACAGAGAAGGCTGCAAGCGAGTCCAAAAGCACAGAGCTTTCCCCTTGCAAAACACCGTCCGTCGGGATATTAGAATCGATCGGGGGAGGGTGTCACCGGGTATTTTGTGGGGGAGGGGGGTCTATAAGAAGATAAGGTGGGAGCAAACCCTTCATTCTCGGGTCAAGGAGAGAGGTGGGATTGTCTAACGGCAAAGGTTAGTGAGAGACAGAGAGATAACAGATAAATCAGAGCTGGAAGGGACCTTGTAGGTCATCTAGTCCAACCCCCTGCCCAAGCAGGAGACCCTACACCCATTTCTGACAGAATCAGTCTAACTAGATGAGCAGCAGCGACCAAAGGGTACCTCCCCCCAAATCCATCCATCCATCCCCCTTCTTCCCCCGCGCCCCCCCTCCAAACTTCCCTCAACTTCCGATCTGCTCCTCGTTGTAAGCTGTGAGTAAGGGTTGCGAAGAGCCACACAAGGATTCTGTTTGGGAAAGTGCGTAGGGATCCAGGAGATGGAGGAGGAAGAGGTGGGTGGTGGGTGGGATTGGGATTTGGGGGCAAGGGGGGGTGTTGACAGCTTCACTCTTTGTTGACGCGGATTTTAAAAGCCACCCGGCCAGCGAATTTGTCTCTCTCATCATTGGCGGCAATGTTGACAGCGTTCATCTTGCACTCTACATTGTGGTCTTGGTTGAAGGTCAGGTTGAGGAATTTGATGGCCACCACGGGCTGGGTGTAGTTGACCTGAAATGGGGTGGAATAGAAATTTTAAAAGGAAAAACAATACCTTTTTTTTTTTCCTTCAAGCATCCGAAGATGTACGAAAAAAGAAAAAAAAGAGAAAAAAGTTAGGACAAAGTCGCGTTTTTTTTTCCTATCTATGAACCAGAAGTCTCGAAGCAGATGAAGAGAGAGAGACGTCTCCCCCTCACCTCTTCCTAACAGATAATCAGAGTTGGAAGGGACCTTGGAGGTCATCTAGTCCAACCCCCCTCTTCCCAAGCAGGAGACCCTACACCATTTCTGACAGATGGGGAGTCCAATCTCTTCTTGAAAGCCTCCAGGGATTCCAATATCTTGTCTGGGGCTTCCCTCAGAGAAGAGTGGAGTCCACTGATTCTACAAAGCACCCGAAGAAGGCGGGAGAAGAAGGAACAGACGTAAACTCATCAAGGAGAGAAGCAACTGAGGAGAAACTTCCTCATAGGAGAAGGAACAACTTGCTCTCAGAAGTTGTGGAGATTCCCCCCCCCCCCCCAAAAAAAAATTGGACAACCCTTTGTCTGGGATAGTACATGTTTTCCTGCTGGAGAAGGGGGTTGGACTAGATGACCTCCAAGGTCCCTGTTCCAACTCTGTTATTCTTTTAATTAATCAGTGGAACAGAAGTTGTGGGTGCTCCAACACTAGAAGTTTTTAAGAAGAGACTGGACACCCATTTGTCTGGAATGGGATAGGGTCTCGTGCCTGAGCAGGGGGCTGGACTAGATGACCTACAAGGTCCCTGTTCCAACTCTTGTCCTCTTCTCCACAGGCAGCAAAAAGACTAAAACATAGGAAGAACGGTTGCAGGAATTCGGTATGTCCACTTTAATGAAAAGAAGGACTGGGGTGCCGTGACAGCAGTCTTCCAATATTTGAGGGGAAAGCACCATAAGTTTCTCCTTAATTCCAGGTTGTTTCTTTCCTTGCATAGTTTCCATGGAAACTATTCAAGGTGAAAAGCAACCTGGAGTTTAGGAGAAACTTCCTAACAGGGAGGACTATTCATCAGTGGAACTGCTTGCCAACAGAAGTTATGTGGGCTCCATCACAGGAGGTTTTGAAGAAGAGATTGGGCGGCCATTTTGTCTGAAATGGTATAGGGTCTTCCTGTTTGAGCAGGGGGCTGGACTAGAAGACCTCCAAGGTCCCTTCCAGCTCCATTATTCTGTTCCGTTATTATTATAGATCACGGGCTTTTTCTGTGCCAAATGTATAGGCAGCTTTTTTTAAAATGGCCCTTGTTTCGTTTGTACATTTATACGTAAGGAGTTGAAGGCCTCGTGACTTGTTTCCTTTGGGTGAAATTTTTATCCTACATCCTTCTCTACCCCCGGATTCCCCATGTTGTAGGGTTTCCCAATCTTGACAATGTTAAGACACATGGACTTCAACTCCCAGAATTCCTCCCCAAAACGGAACGACTTTCTTAATAGACGGTGGGAATGCAGGCCATGTAATATTACCTTGACTTCAGCAAAGTAAGAAACGAACAAACCCTGTGATAACTTAACCAACGAGTTAAATGCGAGATAGACGCCCTGACTGTCAATTCATAAAATATTTATCTGGACTTTTTAGAGTTGCCAACGGAAAGGGAAGGGGGAAAGGGGTTTGAATGGGCAGTGCGGCAGCTTGGAAACTGAAAGCGCATTCCATAAATAGTTTTCAAAGATAGTAACTAGGAGACTGAAGTTTCTTCCGGGCAAAATTCTAACTGGAGAGCGTGATTGATGACTCTGGGCTATGGATGTGTCCAGTTGGAGAATATGAATTATGATACACCTGGGGGGAGGGGGGGGAAACCAGGGTCAAGGGTGACAATGAATTCTGTGCCTCAGAGTTGGCTACACCCAGGCAGTGCCTGCATGTTAACTCTCAATAAATCCTTTCGAACTCGAGACTCATGATTTAATTGAGGGTAACTGCCGGAATCCTGACAATGACAATTAAATGGAAAATTGATCTGTTGGCTGGGGAATTCTGGGAATTGGAAGTCCATCCAAGGTTGAAAAGTGTTACACCAAACCTTGATCTAATCCCACACCCCCAACATCCTAAATTTAAAATAAGGGATTAGAATTTAAAATAGGAACAAATGTGGCTAGACTACCTTCCTCAATTTTTGGGGTAGGGTAAACTTTCTTAATAGATGGTGGGAATGCAGTTGATGTAATATACCTTGACTGCAGAAAAGTGAACAAAAAAACCATGATAACTTAAGTTATCATGGTTAAGTTATCAATGAGTTAAATGTGGGCTAGATGGCATGAGAATTAAATGGAAATTTGATCTGCTGTTTGGGGGATTCCACCTATCTTTAAAGTTTTCTGATTTTGAGAAAGTCTTTTTTTTTCACTATCTAGAGTCCAAAAAAAGAGGGAAATTTGGCTGGGGAATTCTGGGATTTGAAGTCCATGGAGATTTTTTAAGAAGAAATTGGGCAGCCTTTGTCTGGAACCTGTAAAAATTGCTGAATGCAGCTCAAGAGGATTGCTAAAGCATCTGAAAAAAGTTTTGAACTTCACAGAATTAAAACAGCTCTGTTCTGCGTCCATTTCAAGCCTTTTGTCCAAATCTACATTGTATTTTTTTTTCCTCCTTATCCAATCTCTTTCTCCAGGGGGAGGTGGGGTTAATCCGCGGTGGCTGCAAAGAATAAACTGGGTTGAAAACAAAACAAAACAGGGTGGCAAAATTATTAACCCGGGTAAAATAAAACACCTCTGCGCCCAGCCTCCCATGAACCAAAAACCTGGGAATTTCCCAGCATGCACCGGGAAAGAATCGATACTCACGTGAACCTTCTTTCCATAATACGGGAAGTACATGAGATCGATGTTCCCGTTAGCAGGGAACATGGCCAATTCTCCCAGCTTCTGCACGTCTTCCTCTTTCTGGGAAAGTGAAAAGGGAGGGAGGGTGTATCAAAGGATAGCCCGAACTTTGCCCCTCCCCGGCCAAAATAACCCCCCCCCCCCCGGTGCATCTTCAATTATTTTTTATTTACCTTAAACGCAGGAATGAGGCTGCTACTGGTTCACACCGGTTCGTCTGACCTGGTTGTTAATTTTATGGCCCGTTCGGCTAACCAGCAAATACCACCCCACCTCGCCCTTCCCAGGAGTCTCCACGTGGCCCATTTTGGATGCCAGGTAAGTGCAGGGCGCGCACAGAAGCTTGGCGTGGCCAAAAACGGGTCCTCCCCATCATGGCCACGCCCACCCAGCAGCCGGGCAGAGAACCGGTTGTTAAATTTTTTTTGAAGCCCACCTCTGCTTATAAATGCATATTGCCTCCGCATACCCCAAACAAGCTACGACAGATCGTAAGTTTTGCAACTTCTTCTCGTTCCTGGAGGCTTGCATCTTTTAAACTCCCAACACCGGCCCATCAGACCTTAGATTCTCCCACAATGCCCCCCCCCAACCAAATGGAAGCCCCCTGCCTTTCCCCCCTGCCTTTCCCTGGGATTCTTACAACGATTTCATCTTCGTGGCTGCTTTCCTTCTTCTGACGGTGGGAAAACGGCGAAGAAAAAAGACGCGACAGGACGCAAACATGCAAACCAGGCGGAAGGGACAGGCGCGAGCGACGGACAGACAGACGGATGAGTTGATAAAACAAAGGAGCGGGTTAATAAAGAAAGAGAAATGAGTAAGGTCTGATTTAGGGAGGGCTGCTCCCCTGGACAGTTTGGGGTGCGGGGGAAAAAAGCTGTTGCAAAGTTTAGCTGAAGATGGAGATTCTAGATTTTGAGAGAGGCGGCTCATGTGGGCACGGGAAGCTATGAGACATTTGTGGCTGCGGGGAGGAGGGTCAAATGTCAAGCAGAATTCCTGTGTCCCCCCCACCTTCAAAGAAGCAGGCGCGGAAGCTGGAGGGGCCACTTCAGAAGACAGCCAAAGAGAAAGGTTTGTGCAGGATTCACCCCTATTTCAGATTCAGGTTCAGATTAATGAGAATCAGAAGGGACCTTATAGGTCATCTAGTCCAACCCTCTGCCCAAGCAGGCGACTTGGTCTCCCCCAAAGGAAGGAAGATGCTCGTGAGAAGACGGGCTCAGCAGGAAGGGAAGGGAAACAGGTGTTGGGGTGCGAGGGAGAAGAAGAAGGGGGGAAAACATGCTAACAGGGCAAAGAACTAGGAGAGAGACTGGGCAGGAGGGGGTCCTCGGTGGTCTCTGAGTTGGGTGGTTTTCTTGCAGACGTTTCGTGGCCCAACTAGGTAATATCAGCAGTGGTAGAAGGGAGGAGGATTTGGGGAGAGGAGGAGGAG